TCTTTTTTCACATTTTTAAAGAGAACCAGTTTATCAATTATTTTCGTAGAAACAAAAACTCAGTTATTTCAAAAACAAAGACGGTGTGGGGCGTTCAATTGTTTTTGCAATAACCTGCTTTAACTTCTTAACAGTTTGACCGATTGTAACAAATTTGGTAACGTTGAACAGAGCATTCCTTGGGCAACAAGAATCATATAGTTAATTTAGTTGAATCCTTCTCCGCCGGGGGGGGGCTAGTTTTGACACTATGATCCAAAATCCTAAAAAAATCAAATGGAATTATATGACTTTTTCTTTATGAAAAGGTAGCCAAATAACACCCAAAGAGGTCAGTGAAAACCGTTTTTCTAAATCTCGTTCATAACCTCAAATATTGGGAAAATGAGATTAATTAATTAAAATTTACTTTTGACGTATTTCCGGTATTTGTCGATAGCGCATACAATGTGAAACAGCTATTAGTAGTTTTTTATGCGTTTTGCATGTGGAGTTGACAATATTTGGGTTTTAAAATAATAATTAAAAGTACAGGCTGCTACCAATTATTATTTTAGAGCAAAAATATTTCTTTGTGCAAAATAATCTTGGGCCAATTCATCTGAGTCTGCTATTGAATTGAACTGTGAATTTATTCCTGTTTAAATTAATTGCTCCAATTCTAAATTGTAACCGTATACCTTCCTATCAATTTTCTTTATATAAACTAATGTTTGCAAGGGATCTAAACTTTTCCTTCTAAAGCCATTTTACCACCAAAGTCCAAGTAGATTATGGATAAAATAACATGGTAATAATATAAATCAAATCGCTGTCGAGCTATCATGAAAAAAATGCAGTCCAATGTGAAAAATCTGTAATATTGCCCAAAGAAAGAAATTCCTCGGAAATACACCAAAACCTTTTCAGAAACGTGCCAGAAAAACATTTAAAGTGGTTTAAGTATAATCTATCCATTACCGCGATACGGTAATAAAATATTAATTAGAAACTGAGTATAGATACCTATAAAAAGATAAAGATTCATTGAAAGACAACTTCGATAAAAGTCCTTGCCTATAAAGAAACTTATTTTACGGATGTTTGCGTTTGTTAACTTTTCATTTACACACAAACTTTACACTAAACATGCACTATGTGCTTTAAATTGTTTGTCATTTATAATCGAAACATTTAAAATTAATGAAATTATCAATTTAGTGGAAAACCTGCTATCCAAAATGTTAAATGTAAGACATTCCCACAAGATAAGTAAATGTAATAATGATTAGTAATTCCGCAAAATCGGTTTGAAAACATCAAACTTACCGTAGGTAAGAATGTTTCACACCGCGTGTCGTTTAGTCTTCTGCCACGAGTGCTTTCGTTGAACACCTATGGAGCACTACCTGCAGTTTCTCTTGTGATCACCAACAGACTTTGAAACTTCCTATGTCACGCTATAAACGGTAGTATTGATGTCTATCTCTGTTCCCCCTTTCACTTGTTGCTTTTGCAAAGCTCTGCTAAAGCTCTAACCTTCCCTTCCACACCTGTAGAATGCAAAACCTCCCTCCGAAGAATTAGCCAATAATATTCACGTGAGAGAGTATTTTCCAAAGTGCGTTTGAAGCTTTTTTTACGGCGGTGTGCGTAATAGAGTGCTCCATAACTATTAAAATTTGTGGGCGAAAAACAGCGTCACGCCGTGAATATCACTGTTATCCATTAACTTTACAATAAATGTAGCTGGAGCTTAAGAATATTTCATAAATTATAATTAAAACATGCTAATACTTATGAACAAACTGAATAATGTAGATCGAAGTTTTTTCTAATTTTTATCATTTACATGCATATTGATTTTTAATTATCTTTTCGAATGATTTGGTCCACTTGCCAAAGTAACATAATTACTATGTCAGAGTCATTACATTTACAAGTATAACAGACAGGATATTAATTACATTAAAAGTTGTACCTACCCGTATCCATCTCGTCGATGCTATGTGCGGTTAGATGACAGACTTAGGTATGCTTCCTGGCAGAAGGGAATAATAAACTTAAACCGCACCTTCAACATTTGAAGGGCGGTTTCCCAAAATGTTCATGTATGCAACTAATTTATTTCCATTTGTTGATTGTTTTGTTTGGCTGTTATAATAAAACACCGTCAAACACGCATATTAACAACTGATTCTACGAGGAATGTTTCGATTGTTTGGATACGTCATTGAAAACGAAAGTAAAATTAAAACAAACTTTAGTCGTATTTGTACAATCTAATTAAAGCAAATTATTTTATTAGTTTAAAATTAAGCCAAACTTTACATGCAAATGAGCTGTTGTATCAACTAAAATGAACTGTAACGACACTAACGATCTAGTGCTGTCGAATACACCCAAACATTTCGTTTTTTAGTATGATTTTTTAAAAAGCGAGTTTATGATTTTGGACTTTCTGTCTGTCCGTCAATCCGTCCGTTCGTCTGTGGACACGATAACTCACTAACGGTTTCGAATTTTCTAATTCTCTTTTTAGCAATAGGTAGACAATAGTCAAGAGACTAATTGATTAAATTTTGGCAAATATTGATCAACCGGAAGTTACTTTGTCGCTCGTTGTCTATATTGGTGCAGTTTATTTAAAATCATAATTTATGCTTGAGAATGCGCAGTTGGATGGAAAGTTGTAAGTGAAAATCCGATACAACTGAATACCCAACGATCCTCGAGATTTTCACGCATCCAGCACTTTTACAATAACTTTTTGACCCGATAGCCTATGTAACTGAAAACCAATAGCGTCCTTAAGAACATATCGCGTACTGATTTTCAAAGCAATTGGACGTTTCCAATCAAGTTATCGTGCACACGGATAGACAAACAAACAGACAGACAGGCAGACAGACGGCCGACAGTACAAACTTATAAAAGATCTCGAGAATCGTGGTGGATTGTGGTGCTGGATCCGGCTATGATTAGTAGTGGAATACTATTGCAAAGAAAATATTGGTCATCTTCAAGCAGGTAGTATTGCTAAGATTGATGAATATTAGTTCGTAAGGTGTCAGGCTGAAGAATGGGACTACGCTGCGAAATCTCTTCCTCCAATCTCTTGACGTTTTCGACTTAGCGGATGTTGCTAATTATCGATGCACTGGCGATTTAAAACATACCCTATAGATACGCAGACGGTTTTGGGGAAACGGAACGAGGGGGAACATATCGAGTAATCGAATACGCAAAATCTTAAACAGCATTACTGACTCACAACATGACACATGACATACTGTAATCTCCCAGCTCCACCTTTAACCCAAGCATCCATACAAATGCAACTTACTGAACAAACACACACAATAAATAAGTAACGCGACATACACTACAAAGACAGATTCACCCAATAAAGTTACACGTCTTAGCACGGCTAAAAAACACAAAACTCTTTCTTCTCAGAAACACACCACGTTATCACAACCTATTCGTATTCAACACAAACGCAAAGCCAAACAAACCCTTAGGTACACAATAAACAACGCCACTTAATTAAATTGCTAAATTTACAGAATTTTTTTTTAAAGCGTTGGCTGTTGTGACCAGCTATTTTGGTATTTATAAGTATGAATTACATACTATTCCTATATTTTCTTTATGTGTGGTTTTTTTTAAGTATGTATTTTAATTTAATTCCTATTATTTATAAAATCATAATAGTTATTTATGGTATAAGTGTGTTATATTACAAATAAGTCACGCGAGAAAAAAGTAAGCCCACGAGGCCGTCAGGCCGAGTGGGGTTATTTTCTCAAGTGACTTATTGTAATTAACACAGGTGCACCATACAAAACTTTATCCAACACCTCCTCAAGCTGGTTTAAAACGTGGAAATCTTAAAAACTGCGTGTTCCGCGAAAAGCTAGAGTGCATGGAATTTGGAATATGGAATATGGATTCGTTGCTATGGGGAATAATAAACAACAAAAAATTTAGTCAGAAAATTTATATGGATTTACTTATGGTTCCTGTACTTTATCTTGCTAGTGAGTTATTTTACGTCCATAACTCATTAGTGGGTTATATTATACCTTAGGTACTCGTTTAATTTCGTCATGATAATGACTGGATAACATAGAGGTGTTGGATAAAATTATAAAATTTAGGACGAACGTCGAACGACGTACAGACAAACACTAATCGTTACTTGATTTTAATTCGGGCGATTAGTTAACCAGGCTAGTAGCGTAGGCGGTACAACTGAATATCGAGGTAAACGCTGCACTTCGTGACAAAAGCATGAAACTCGGTACACATATCTATTAGGTCCAAATAAAACTTTTGACCCGCAGCACCCACCGAAATTTTCGGGTGGGTTCAAAATTTGAACACTTTTGTTCAAAAGGGTGTTCAAGATTTTAAACCTGTAAAAATTAAAGAATTTCGGCATTCTAGGGGTCGTTTTTGAATTATTTAGGGTCGCTGGTGCGAATGGCGGCATTAAAAAATTGTATATCTGACCCTTAGGCCCCAAATTTGGAGTATTTTCAAAATAATGGTAAATTCTGAATTTGATAGTTTTAACCCTGCGTGATGTTTCGGATGTCGATTGCAGCTAATTTGGACGTGCACTACATGCTAGAAATGTTATATTGACGTTGAAACAGTTTCTGGTGTGTAAATAGGCCGTTAATCGTTCAATAATTTGTTCAAAATTTGGAAATTCTATACTTGAAGGATTTTGCCGTTCTTGGTGTCGTTTCCATATAATTTGTGGTTGCTGATGCTGATTTTGTATTCAGAAAACAGATGCGACTCATAGTTAGGCCCTTTTCATACACGTTTACCTATTAAGAGAGAATGTTCGGTGCAGTCATACCCTCGGTCATACCTTTGTTGTGCCGGATTGCAACAACTATTGAATGACAAAGAAAGACGAAAGAGACGGGCTTTTCATTAAGATTCGGAAGTGGACATGTTCTCTGACGGAATATGCCGCCTATGCTTCCATTATTGCCCTCCCGTCATCGTTTGTTGGGAAATCTGTACTTCCAATCAGTCTTGAGCTCACTCCACGACAAGTATGTAACATCACGCAGCGAGCTAGTTCCGTCCGACTCGTCCCCCTGGAAATGAGGATATTGCAACGATACCGTGAAACGCGATCGATCGCGACGCAGTGCCTGGGCGTGCCCTGAGGTCGCCGAGGCAGCCCCCAAAGTACATCAAACGGCGGGCGATACGATTAGGCCGCGAGTCACAGGCGTTTTAGGCCCTGTGCGTCGCGGTAGAAACTCTAATATAAGCGCATATTGAGAGACCGTTACCACCATGACCTGACCAGCCGGAAGCTGGTTCGGGTTCCCTATGCATACACGCTAGATGCCGGTTATCTGGTACAACAACTCAACGAAGGGAAGAGGATTAAAGCTGCTTTCATTCATATCAAAACAAAGTGGCACAAAGCCTGTGCATCGAAGTTCCAAGGGGCTAAATTGGATCAACTTTTACTAAAAGTTCAGTCTTATACCAGTGCTATTGATGTACCTGAAGAGGCACTCGAAGACTGGCGGTCAGAACCAGCTTCTGGCTGGTCAGGTCATGGTGGTAACGGTCTCTTAATATGCGCTTAGAGTTCCTACCGCGACGCACAGGGCCTAAAACGCCTGTGACTCGCGGCTTAATCGTATCGTCCGCCGTCTGATGGACTTTGGGGGCTGCCTCGGCGACTTCTGGGAACACCTAGGCACTGCGTCGCGATCGATGGCGTTTCACGCGGTATCGTTGCGATATCCTCACTTCAAAGAAAGGGCGTCGCCAGAGGAGGCAGGGAAGGGAAGCTGCCCCCGTCTAGAGATTAAAAAAAGTAGCAAAATGCAAAGCAACCAAAGTGTCTTGGTTTTCTTGACCGATAATTCCCTATTACAATTACTGTGGTTGTAGAGGTAAGGAAGTAAAAGTTTATGTGCTCTGCACTATACCTACAGTTAATAATTTTTTTATCCTTCATATGTCAACTTGCCTATCTCTGGGCCATCAGCTGGCGACACTCTTGCTTCAAGGGGCACAAGTCGGACGGAACTTGCTCGCTGCGTGATGTTACTTGTCGTGGAGTGAGCTCAAGACTGACTGGAAGTACAGATTTCCCAACAAACGATGCCGGGAGGGCAATAATGGAAGCATAGGCGGCATATCCCGTCAGAGAACATGTCCACTTCCGAATCTTAATGAAAAGCCCGTCTCTTTCGTCTTTCTTTGTCATTCAATAGTTGTTGCAATCCGGGGCAACAAGGATATGACTGCGCCGAACATTCCCTCTTAATAGGTAAAATAGTATTAAAAGGGCCGAACTATGAGTCGCATCTGTTTTCTGAATACAAAATCAGCATCACCACAAATTATATGGAAACGACACCAAGAACGGCAAAATCCTTCAAGTATGGAATTTCCAAATTTTGAACAAATTATTGAACAATTAACGGCCTATTTATACACCAGAAACTGTTTTAACTTCAATATAACATTTCTAGCGTGCAGTGCAAGTCCAAATTAACTGGAATCGACATCCGAAACATCAAAATTTAACCATTATTTTGAAAATATTCCAAATTTGGGGCCTAAGGGTCAGATATGCAACTTTTTTAATGCCGCCATTGGCACCAGCGACCCTAAATAATTCAAAAACGACCCCTAAAATGCCGAAATTCGTCAATTTTTACAGGTTTAAAATCTTGAACACCCTTTTGAACAAAAGTGTTCAAATTTTGAACCCACACGAAAATTTCGGTGGGTGCTGCGGGTCAAAAGTTTTATTTGGACCTAATGAACACGTGTACCGAGTTTCATGCTTTTGTCACAAAATGCAGCGAAAAAATTTGTACCGCCTACGCTATAGATCTGAGTCCTCACAAGAAACACCGACCATAATAATAATAATAATACCCTCTGTGGGTTCGGGGATAGAATAGGCCCACTCTCACCATAGAGATCGTAAAAGGCGATCAATGGGCACTAAAGGTGACAAGTCCAACCACCTTTAGTACTTACCTACCCACTTTACTTTCCAACTCCCACGCCCATGTTCCCTACTTTCCTACATTATACACAACACGCAGGTGGGTATTTGCTTACGCGAATATCTTGAAGAGTGACGCCTTCACGAATTCCTAGTCACCTCATATTCTTATGAAAATGGAGTTTAAACAAAGCCTCGGAAAAATGCCGCTACTTGAGGAGCGTCAGGACACGTCTGGAGCTATCGCTGGGCGTTGCAGCATGCGAGCCGATGGGGACGAGTTGGTGAACAGGCGGCCGCTCGTCGGGATACCCGAAACCTTTACAGCCGAAAGAAGATTACGAAGAGGACAACGACCACTTGAAGAGGACCGCCAAGAAGAGACCTTTGTGCCTGCTTCTCAACCGCTTGTGGATGGGAACAGCGCAAAGAAAACCTCCAAAAGACGGATCAAACGGGACGAAGGGATGAATCGCTTCATTTTCGGTACGTATCTGGAGATCACGAAGATGGAAACGGCCAGGACAGCATACAGAGGTAAACTATATCACGCTTTCATTACACCATACCCACATTTAGCGCACTTAACAGAACAACGCATTGCAGACTAACGTAGAGTTATCATTAAAAATACACTCCTTACATTAGACACACAGGAACAAATCAAGCACGAAATTGAAGCACTACTCAACACAAACAATACACTCATCGTACAAGATAATATACGCGTTCTAAACAACTCTGAAATACAGACATTTGTGACACTCCAACAATCGATAGATACAAATAATCACATAAACTAAACACTCACATCACTTCAAAAAGAATTTGACAATGCATTGTTAGAATTCTCAAACACTGACCCAACAAAGAGCACGAATATCTAAACAAAGTCACACTACAAAATTACGGGACCGACAAGAAATCCAAATTCCAACTTTTTAGGGACAAATTATCCAAATAATTTGGATTGTTTTCGTCAAGATATCCAATTTTTATCGACAAATTATCCAAATCCAAATAAAGCGACAAAGTATCCAACCAATTTGGAAACTCCGATTTGGATATCTTGTCGGTGGCGCGACAAGATATCCAAATATCGATTTTTTTTAGACAAGAAATCCAAATTTTTTGAACAAAATATCCAAAAAGTTCGGAAATTTTTTGAGAAGATATCCAAACTTTTTTAGACAAGAAATCCAAATTTTATTCAAGCCCTTTAATCACATATGAACCTTGTGCAGTACGAAACATTTCAGTTTCAGTGTTAAAGCACGCCATAGCATTTATGTTTTAATACAGCGTCAAAGAATTAGGGCCTACCTACTAATAAAATGAGTTCTTTCATTTCATTTCATTTTTATTTTTCGTAAAAAACAATGTACAATTGTATTACAACGTCAGACTAACAAACATTTAATAGACAATAACATTTTCACATACAGAGAGGTACTCGCCTTCATCGTCATTGGTCGCTAGGAAACGTATTTTAGTTTTGAACTGCTTCAGTGATCGGCTACTTTTTATTGTTTGGGGTAATAAGTTATAGTAAAATATACTGCGATATGTCGGTGATTTTTAAAAAAAAGAGTGTTTCGGTTTGGGCAGATAAATTATTAAACTACACTACATTATTAAACGCTGTATAAAAACATACTGAATGCTAATTGCTATGCCGTGTTTTAACACTGAAACTGAAATGCTGATACGGAATTTTTGGTACCACACAAGGTTCATGCCTGATTAAAATTATAATTAATAAGTACTTTTAAAGCTCAGCACTTAGACAAGCACAAAGCTCTCACGCTGAAAACAACTACTGTTAAAAACGTATAGGTAATGATCAAATACTTACACGAAAAAGCGGCGTACCTTTATCTATTTGAAAATTGGATATCTTGTTGAAAACTTTCCAAACTTTTTGGATTTCTTGTCTAAAAAACTTTGGATATCTGGTCAAAAAATTTCCGAACTTTTTGGATATTTTGTCCAAAAAATTTGGATTTCTTGTCTAAAAAAAATTCGATATTTGGATATCTTGTCGCGCCACCGACAAGATATCCAAATCGGAGTTTCCAAATTGGTTGGATATTTTGTCGCTTTATTTGGATTTGGATAATTTGTCGATAAAAACTGGATATCTTGACGAAAACAATCCAAATTATTTGGATAATTTGTCCCTAAAAAGTTGGAATTTGGATTTCTTGTCGGTCCCCAAAATTACGCACACTTTCAAAAACACTAAATGATCACATTTTACCAAATTACACGATAACACAAGCTTACATCAACTACACTTTGTTGTGTATTGCGGTGCGGTTGCAGTTTCTAGATGTAACGGTTCAAGAATAACAACAAACAAAGAACATCACACAACAAAAAAACGCTCACCCCCGGCTTGGGAAAAACGCCTAATTAATCGCATCGATGACATCAGACGTGACTTGGGTCGGATTACACAATACATACAAGGAAACACCATGTCCATAAATACAAGTAACGCAACATGCACTACAAATAATTGGAAGCTATCCATCTTTATAACGACTCAAAACGGGGTGATAGTGAATAAATAGATTGATAAAAGACACTAAACCTTCCCCATACTTCTTTTTATTATTTCCGGTAGTTAAAATAAAGGCATTGGGTGACAACAACTATAGTTTCGACCCAAAGGTCATTATCAATCTTAAATTTACGAGAACATGTAAAGGTGGTTGAAAAGTTACAATTTAAAAGGGTACATTTTGGTTATCCGTATGAAGAAAAATTACTAATTTATGACATGGGAAACAATAACAATTTTAACAATTTAAAGGCTTCTGTCCTCACATTTTCTAAGTACAATTGATTAATATAATATCAAAATTAGAGGAGACGAGATGGACACAGCCATCTTGAATTGAATTGAATTAACAGGATTTTTTTGGATTTTCTTTTTAGTAGTCCGTCATGATTTTATAACAATCGAATTTAAACAAATCTAGTGACACTAATCCGTCACCTGATATAGGTTAACATAAGTTTTTCAAAAATTGAAAAATGAGTCGCAGTGGTTTCACCTATAAAGATTTTTGAAATTTAATTGTTATTTATAGCGAAATGGACCGACTCGCGGCACGTGCTTGCCGTACATTCATTCGAACACTGGAACGAAATTGTATGAATTTTGGAAATTTTGTACCATTAAATGACAAGTGACACGTAAGAAAATGAATTGAAATGTGTTTGCAACACGAAGGTAATCCCCGACGAGATCTTGCTGATGGTGGAGTCAAAAACATCAAAGTATGTAGTATCTTGTGTTATGTTTAGAAATTTACGAACAATATGGCATGTGTTGATAATGACTGCTTTTTGTAAATGTTTGTATGTGTTTTTGTCTAAACCTAATAGTTGTAAATTGTGGTAATAATAATAATAATAATAGAGATTTATTGCCCAACAGAACAGACCTTCCAATTACAGGACAATACATAATAGTTAACGCGCAACGATTTAATGTAATAAGAAAAAAAAAAGAAAAAGAAAGAAACACAACAAAAAACTCAAAATCTTAACATAACTAAACAACAACAAAATAATTAAATTCATATTTCAAAAATTATTGTCTTTGGTATAACTCCAGTAGCACTAAGAATAATGGCAACTATAACAGTAGAGTTCATTCTCCATTGCGTCTTAAGCTCGATAGCTATATCGGTGTACCTATTTGCGGTGTTTTTCTGCATGTGTTTTAGTTAAGTTGTTAGTGTTGGGGATGGCAATGTCTATAATACAAATGGACTTTTGTGTTTTATCTATAAGTGTAATATCTGGTCTATTATTGTGGATAGTTTTGTCTGTGAGTAGTGTCCTGTCCCAATATAATTTGTGTGTGTTGTTTTCAAGTATGATCTGTATGGCGTGTATTTGTAGTATGGTGTCTTATCTGTTATGAGATTGTGTTTAAGTGCTAATTTTTGATGTATGATTTTAGCTACCTGATCGTGTCGATGTTTGTATTCAGTTTGTGCGAGTCGTGTGCATGCCGATATTATATGTTGGATTGTTTCTGATGTTTGTGAACAAAGTCGACAAGAATCATTTGTCACTGTTTTATCTTTATGTATGTGTTTTTTTATAGTT